CTTTCTCTCTTCCTCTTCCCCTTTTTCTTCTTCTTCTTCTTCTTCTTCCGCCTTCTCTTCTTCGTTTTCTTCTGAATGGTGAGCCTTTTACTTGACGATCGATGGCAAGGCCCTCTACGCCACGGTAGGGTCACTCACGCGAGGTCAGAAGTCGTTATCACCTCCTCGAGGCCGCCCGCTTGCCAGCCACATCGCCGTGGGCCCGGTAGCCGCCCTCCTCCCCACGACGATCAACCGCCACCACCATCTGCAACGAGAGCAAACGGGAATTGTCTTGTGAACCTTGCTTGCAACAGTCTTTTAGCGAATCGTTCGGAATGGGAGATGGTTTTCAGGGTTGTTTCCGCGGTCGAAGGTTTTTGACCTTTGCACTGTATTGCGTGGAGTGCCGTTCGATTTTGTGCAGGATAGTGGAGGATAGTATTTAACTCTGTAGGCTCCAATATTGCACCAGTTATAACATTAAATATTTTAATGAATCTTAAAGTAACTACCCTAAAATTATTCGATTTTCACATCCAAATTTTGTAATAAAGAAAATAAAAGATCGAAGAAATGTCATAGCATTTCTCATTTTCTCTAGGAATACTATAAAAATTAGTTGCAGTTCCCGATAGATTATAGAACAACCTGAGGTGCTAAGGGTTAACAGGTTTGCCACGGTCACTGGAGCTTCCAAATTGCTCAAGAACATTATTAAATTACAAGGAAGAACTTGATTTTAAATAAAAATATTTAGTATCATGAGTAGCTAGATCATAGCTACTGTGATAATAAATTATTAATAATTCTTTTCAATGTCATTTTCCTTTGTTATTAAAGAATAAGTATTATTACTCAAAACGCTAAAAATTCTCGTGGCAGTCATTGTTAATGGCGACTCTTTGTAATCTGCAAATTTTCCAGTGAAAATACTTGATGTTTACTAACAGTTAACCTGTTAACTAACATTTAAACAATCTTTTGAACGTTTCTTCATAGAAACTACAAGCGTGAATGTATTAACGTTTCAATCGGTTTATACTTCAGTTTAAGTACTACTAAATTAGCTGACTTAATAATTTCTTAAAAAACATCTGTTTTACAGTCATTCTAAAAGAACTTAGGAAATGGTCATTTTACCCACCTGGTAGTTCCAGTGTTAATATCGAAATTTACTTAGCAAGAAATCGCACATCGATGCGTTATGCGAAAGTTAATATTAAATACCGAACTTTAGTTCTATTAAGTTACTACCATTTATTAATAACAAAAGCTTTTTGATTACATACAGAGACCCAATCATAGTTCTGAATGCAAAGGAACTAATACAGTCTACCATTATATAGAAACTTCGTTAACCCCGAAAATTAATCGAAACATTCTGTCGATACATGTGGAGGTTGAGAACCCCTGGTCCCAGGAGCGATGGCGGGAAATTCAATTATTCGAGGGAGCAACCGTTGCCGTTATAAATTCCGAAAGTTCGCCGCGTTTTCACGTACGGATCGTTCGAGGGTCTCAGACGGGCGCCGCGCGCCAGTTCGGCCGTGTATACGTGGAAATGAATTTTCTGGCTGCTGAGAGAAATGCACTCGCGTCGAGAGTGGCGTGCCGCGCGAGCCACGGCCGAACGCGGCCATTCCATTTCGAAAGATATTACGTCTGCGCCTCGCTTTCTTCGCCACGAAAATTCCGAGGATATTCAGTTCACCGTGACGCTGGGATATTAATTGGTTTCATCGAGTCTCAGTACTCTCAGACACGGCTGGGAACGAACGCAATGCAACGTCGACCGATCGATAGCATTTGGAAACAACGTTCGTTTAAATCGACGAGAGAACCTGAAGTTCGAAATCGACGTTGATTTTACTGAGACTTGGCTGGAAGGTGATTGGAATTATTAATGAAGTCTTTGGTCAGGTGCAATCGAATGAATGGAGGAAGTTAATGCTTATTGTAGTTGAATCTGGTTGGTCATTTTCGTGGAATATTCAGTTGTAAACCTGAGAGTTGACTGGGAGTTGACTGAGAGTAAATTAAAGAGGGAGAAATTTATTATGGTTTAAAGTTCATTAATTTTCTGTTTTTGGATACGTTGTGAATGGAGAACTTGGAAACATATTTTGCTGAGAGTTGATGGTACTGAGAATTGACTGAGATGGGGAGAAAAGAATTTTGTAGAATGTAAAGTCATTAGGTGTCTCAGTTTCTGTGGAATGTAGATTTAAGTGGAAAGCGAGAAGCTTAGATTTTACTTTGCTGAGACTTGTTGGGAGATTATTGAAACAAGAGATTCATTAAAGGAGCAATTCAAAAGGGAAAGTTAATGACAGTTCAAAGAGATCAAATTTACACTTAAGTGATCCTGTTTTTGTGTACCACGAACTGAGACTGAGAAATTGAGGGACGACGAAACTGAAAACTCGAAGAACTGGAAAATCGAGAAATGGAGAAATTGAACAATTGAAAGACTTACCGTAGATTTCACGGAACGCGAACACAAACGCGAAAGCCAAATTGAGCTGAGACCAAAAACTGCGAGTGTTTCACGCAACAACATCCAAAAACAGCAACGCCGTTGCGATATCTTATGCAACAGTATTATTCAATAGCGCCGACTGCGGATTGTACACAAAAACCTGTTAGACAGCTTTTACCGTGCGCGAGAACAGCATCGGCGCCACGAGATATATTGTTCTGTAAATAACGCGAAATCGAATAATAATATTCGGCAATAAACTCATGATAAACAATCTATCGTCAGATAACAGGTAAAATTATCTGCGTGACGCCATGCGTGGGCAAAGTGCGCATACATCTGTGGAGCACGGTAATAATGGGAACTTTCACTTTCAAATATAAATTCAATTTAATTATTGCTGATTCTAACATACATCATTTACTTTATTAGTTACTTTTCAGTTTATTCTTATTATTTCAAACGGTACTGGTTGAGATTTCATGGTGGTGTCCGCTGTTTTGAATTGTCATTTGCTTAGAAACGAATGATTCTCGACCTCTCGACTTCTGGATGATGTACAGGGTGTTTTCGAAATCGTGGTACGGTAGGGGATGGGTTTGTTTTATATAAAACCATAAGATAATATGAGAATAAATATACGAATGCGAATGGAACAAAAATTAAATTAAAAAGAGACATAGAAATAGAAATAGAAATAGAAATAGAAAGAAAAAGAAAAAAAAGAAAAGGAAACAAAATTAAATCGAGACAAAATAGAAATGAAAACAAAAATGAAAACAAAAATAAAAATAAAAATAAAAATGAACATAGATATAAAAAATAGAAATAAAAATAGAAGAGAACATAGATATAAAAAATACAAATAAAAATAGAAGTGAACATAGATATAAAAAATACAAATAAAAATAGAAGTGAACATAGACATAAAAAATAGAAATAAAAATAGAAGTGAACATAGATATAAAAAATACAAATAAAAATAGAAGTGAACATAGATATAAAAGATAGAAACGAACACAGAAACAATAAATAGAAATAAAAACAAGAAACTACCTCTAAGTAGAAAATACAGAACAAAATTCATGCTGTGCATACTGCTGAATATTTCATTCGTCCAACCTGTCTGATCATAACTAGCAGTTTCCACTTTTCGCAAATACCAACACAGAACGTCGGTCGCAAAACAAAAGTCGATTATCCCAAGAGCAAAATGAGAAACGTTAAGAAAATTCTCATGATTTTTCCACGTGAATTCCCTTTCTGTTCGATTATCCTATAATTTAAGGGACACCCGGTACACAGAGCATGTCGATAAGTACACATGGTTCAAGGTGTAAACGGAAACCCAGCTGGGCGAAAGTGAACCCCAGCGCTGAACCTCTTCTCCATCGTCGGGGTTAACGCGAAACGGCTTGTGTGTTTTATTTACTATTTTTTTCAAGGGGCCCCATTAAAAGGCAGCGTGGGGCTCGAGTCGTCGATACCGGGCGATAAACTGAACTCATAGTGCAAACATGAACGCCGCATTGAACAAATGAGTAAAAGACCTTCTAAATCGGTCTTCGCCGTATATGGAGCGTTTTACGAGGTTCCATCAACGCGCCATATTGGGTTTCTATTGGGAACTTTGTAATGCACTGCACGGGCATACATAGGGTGGCCCTAGAATCTGGGATCGAGTCGAATGTTCGATTAACCCTTCGCGCTCTGAATTTCTTTTGGATCTTTACCACGGTAACTCTGTATTATTATGACATTTGATAAAATTGAGAATAACATAATAATATAATTTGTTTGAAAAATATCTTGGCAAAGCACACCTGTGGATACAGTTGATGTCACGTTTGACATAGTGCAAAGGGTTAACCCTTTGCACTCGAAAGGTGACTCTCAGTGAAGTTGAATATTCAGTATTTTAAATTAAAATTATATTTTGCAATGTGAAATACATATATATATCTCGTGTTTCCACGAATACGACTGGTTTTTCTTATTTTGCAATATCATTTGAGAAATGAATAGTTGCTCTTCGATGATGTAAGAAATACCGGTAGATACTTTGAAAAGTGTGATTTTTTTATAAGTGCGAAGTAAGAAACAATACTGAATAGTTCTACTGCTAATTTGTGACTCTATTGTAAAAGCAACACGTCTCGAGGCGAGATCACGTGACCACCAGGAAAAGTGAGGTTAACGCGGCGATCGAATTCCACCGGTATGGTTCAATTTCACGTTGACGTAGGTCCGGGCACCAGCATTGTTCACCGTTTCACAGGCGTTGCTCGCTCGATAATCTCGAAAGGGAAGTATATTCAATTATTAACGCTATAGTAACCGTTTAACATGTTAAAACAATATTAACCGTTTAATATACGAGAACTATATTAATTATTTGATACACTAAAACTATATTAAATTACTAGAACTATATGAGCCATTTAATATATTCGAACTGTATCAAATTATTAAGATTGTATTAACCCTTTGCACTCTAGAGTTCTTCGCCACTACGAACGACAGTTTCTGAACTAACTCGCAACAGAAATTCCACACAGATTAGAGAACAAAATATTGAAATAAAGTTTCAATTAAAGAACGAAACCCTTTTCTTCCAACACGCGATTCCATCAATTCCAACATCCAACTCCAGCATTCGATTCCAACAATCAATTCCAATATTTTCTCTTCAATATTTAATTCCAACTCCCAACTCCAGAATTCAATTCCATCGCGCAATTCCAACAATAAACTCCAACATTCCCTCCTCGACATTCAATTCCAAC